ACTTCTGGGTCCATTGTTCACAAATATCCTTCAGTATGTGCAATGTTTTCAAATGCATTTTGCAAATACTAGTAAAATGATCCTTTATCTTTTGCTGAAAAACATAAATTTATGTACATTATTATTAATAATAATATTTATTAAATTTATATGCCGCCTATCTCCCCCAGAGGGCAACTCTGGGTCGCTCACAATTGGAATGTTATTTCAGTCATGAGATAATTACAGAAAGCTTGTCATATTATTTCCTTTTTTAAAATATCTATCCATCCATCCTGTCCAGCTGAGCCAGCTGTATTGGTCCACCAGGGATGATTAGTGCTGACACCCTTTTCAGTGCTATCTAGCTGGATATTTATAAGCAGGACCATTTAAACGTTGCTGAAGAGCCTGAAGGGTTGCCTCTTAATTTCACTTTGGGAATTCTGAAACATTAAAATAACAGTATCAATTTAAATGGAGGCCAATGTTTACAATTCTCATGCTGCTCTGAAATAATACTATTCTAGGTTTCAGGTAATTTAAAGTTATAGCCCACTGCCACATTCAAAATAGAAGTTCATCCATGGAGGATATTTTGCTAACAATTTTAGTTTGCCTGTCAAGATGAAAACTGATTTTTTTGCAGCCAGTTCCTGCCCAGCTCTGCTTTCAGGAAGCAAAACTGCATTTATTTATGTATCCATATATCTATACCAATGTATACTTAAGATGGGCAGAGAAATACCAAGTTTAAGATAAACAGGCTAGTCATAAAACTTGAATGTAATAATAGAACAGATGGAAAACAATGTGTCTCTGTAGGGACACTCAAAACCCTTTTCAGCATTCTGGTTTTGCTTAGAAGTGTTTACTGTTCTTATCTAGAGGCTCTAAGAAACTGAGTAGAGAAGAACAGCCAGATGCTACAAATGCTGAACTGATGAACATTCAAAACTGCCACACTTTTGAAAATGTAATGGTAATAACCTGTTTAGTTCTAGTTTTTTACATGTACACAGTGATTTGTTTCTGTTGTTACTATGGAGTGTATTCTGTATATCTCTCCTTTATATTGTGATAGGTTATGTCAGGGTCATCTGCAAGGAGAGGATCAGAAAAGTCAAGATGATGGCCACCTTTTTTATGCGTGTCACATGATTATGGCCACCATCTTGACTATTTTGACCCCCTCCCTGCAGACAACCCTGGTTATAGTCCAAGAGAAAATTTTACCACATGTTAAGTTGCTTGTCTATAGTACAGGTAGGAAACCTGTTATTTTTCCTGTTTTGTAATTTAGTTCCCAACAGCCCAGCTCCATGGCCAGTGAGAAGGAAGCATGTGTGTTGTAGCCCCCCATACCTGGAGGATACCTGGTTGCCTAACCATGGAAAAAGTAGGACTGATTCCAGATTTGAGGGAGCTGTTGCAGGGGCATACAGAATATGATATCAGAACCAATTCATGTTTTGTTATTTTTTTGTCATGGTAGCTTGCATCAGACATATATGGTTTTAGGGTAATCAGACTATGGTTCTCAGACAAATTTGATAGGACAATATCTCATATATAATGGTTGCAAGAGAAACGCATAGATGCACAAGGAACAGTTTCCCAGTTCTTTTTGTCACATCTGGATTAGTTTCTTATGAACTAGTAAGGGGGGGGGGTGTATGGGATTGCTATATGTACTTACCTGAAAATAAATTCCAGTCAACTGAATACAGAATCAAATCTGTATTCTAAGTTGCTGTTAAAAGCTAAGGAGCAGTACCCATTAAAAAGTTGGCAACTGTAAACAATGACATTTTGAAGAGGATAAACTCCACATATGTTGTTTAGTCTGATCTTTACTGACCAAAATTCAATAAAGCTAGGCACATATATAATGTGTCCCTGTAATTTACAATACTTCTTTAACCTTTACCAGTCACAATAATGGACATTTTTCTAGTTATATATTAACTGCTGTCAACTGCATAAAGCAGATAAGCTACTGGTTTAATTATCTGTTCCAATAATTTCTTCCTATGGTCAATATCACATCTTTGTGCAATCTAGCCCAGAATTCTGTAAGCAGTCATTGGTTACATTTGATTGTAGCTACAGTTAAAAATAGGTTTTTGGTTAAAAAAAAAACCTGAAGTTTTTCAACCCTGCATAGGGCTAGAAATAGGCAAGAAGTTAAGTTTGCCTTTTTTATTGTGGTAACAGCTTATAAAAACTCACCCACCTCAGCATAAATAGGATACAAAGGAGTTCAGATTGGAAAAGGTTTTGAATGTGAGAGAAATCAAAAGTAATATGTAATGAGGTGTTTTAATTTCAGTTCCCATCAGTCCAGCTACTATGGCTAATTTGAATAGCCGGTAGAAACTGTAATCCAAATGCATTGATCCAAGCAGACAAATTCAGGTGTTTCAGCTCTTAAAAACTATGTGTGTATTCATATTTATGGTGCTGATGGTCACCATTCATTTCTGGATAGGAAGGAGCCCCCTCAACAGCTGCATAAAAGACAAAAATGTGATCCACTTTACCAGCTAAATTTGGCTGCTGCAAATATAGGTACAATTTTCATTTCTCTCTCCAAGTTTCTTCATAAACAGAATGAAAAATATGTAAGGTTTAAATATTTTGAATATTTAGATATAGGTAGCAAATTAAGAATGGGAAAAAAACCCACTTAGCCTACTGTACCTTACTGTTATGTGGATTACTTGTCTCCCAACATAGGAGAAACCCTTTTCCTTTAAATACTCAGAATTAGCAATCAATACAGATGTAGAACGATATATTATTGCTTCTTTGTTGCTAGAGCACTCAAAACGAAATGAAAATATGCTTTCCCATTGCTAGATAGAATTCTGAGCTCCCAGCATCACACTGCAAGAATCCATAAAACCTTTAATATTTAGAAAGAATTGTATTGCTGGTATGTGGCATTGCAAATCAGAATTAAGAAGGCAGCATTTCCACTTTAGGATATCTGCAGTCCCCTTTCAGAGTGTTCACCAAGATTTACCTGAGAAAGTGTGGTATTCTTTCAAAGATCATTACATCATCACTACACATGTTAACCTACAGATTTATTAAAAAATAAACTGCTGTTCCTTATTTGCTAGAATAATAGTCTTCCCAAACACTTCAGCCTCATATACCATCATTACTTTGGAATATTAAAGGCTGTTGGCATGTTACCAAAAAACATCCATATGATATGAACCAATGGTCCTCAGTGATACATTTGCATAGATAAACACAGTGTATGAAACAAGATTGTCATTGTTTTCCTGTAGCAATTCTTCCCATGGTGCCAAAATGTTTTTATAGCTGCCATGATTGTGGGCATAATTGTTGGAAAACTGCAGATTTCCATCTGTGGAGGGAAGTTTACATGCTACAGTTCATTGTGAGAAAGGATTAGCAGAAACTCTAAGGGCATATTGCATAAAACCCCTGTGAGCCAATCCTTAAGAAATATAGAATGGCATAGGAAAAACACATCTGCCACCTACTTATAATCTAAACTGGAAATTGTTTCTTTTGGAAATTCTGATCTAGTAAGATAGCTAATGAAACAATTAGTCAGTCCTTAAGTGGGGACTGGTATGAGCAGAGCATGTGCTTAGCAATTTTTCATTTATAAAACATCAGATTTGGTACTGAATCTAAAAAGAATATTGTAGATCTGGAAAAGGTGAAAAAAAGACAAGGCTGCAAAAAAAAGGAATTGAGAAACTATCTCTCATAATATTAGAATCAGAGATGACCAGTCAAGAGAAAAGTATGATATTCAATCTCATTTGCAAATAGACTATCCATTTTGCATATATATGAGAATATACATTTTAGTTTGAATGTGAAAGATGAAAACATTATTGTGATACTTTGAGATCCCAGAATTCTGATGTAAAACCCACCCACCGAACCACACACACACCTGCATACACCTTCACAAAACCTACAGGGTTCAGAGGAATAGATGGGAGGGACGAGGATAACTTCATCAGATCATCATCTTTAGTCATTACTATTTCAGAAAAGTATGCCCGCCGACTAGGGCGCCACCAGGAAGTCAGCCTTGTGAGAGCCGATGGAAGGCATTTTCTCCTTTCCATCTTCTGCTTGTCCAAAGAAAGAGCAGGAGCGGAGCTCCCTCTGTGCACCGGGAGGAGAACGACAAGCAGCCACTTCTTCCTGTTTCTCTCCTCCGACTCTGGCTGTTGCACCAGCGGTCACCTCTGAGAGCTGCTTTGCGGTGCCTGCGAGAGCGAGAGAGAGAGGGGGAAAGCAGCCGAGCGCAGCGTGGCGCACCCGGTTTCCCGTCTTCTACAGCGCCTGCGCCTTCAGGCACTTCGCCGCGCTGCTCCTTCCGAGCCGGGGAGTCTCTGGCGGGTTGCGGTGACATTGTCGGAAGGAGGGGAAAGGGAGGAGACTTGGGTGGGAGGAGGCGGCGCCGAGGGGAAGAGCGCGCGCCTTGCTTTGCGTCCCCGGCTTGTGTGGGAGCTGCGGGGCAACCAACTTATCCTCGCGGCGCGCGCCAGCTCTGGCGCTCGGGGACGGGACCGGAGCTAGCCGCTGGGCAGAGTCCCGCCATTTGCACCCGCTTTTCTGAGCACTTTTCTCCCGCGCTTGGCCAGAGGCTGCTGGAAGGAAGCTACGGACTATAAATAGCTCCGGCTACGGACGGAGTCGCTGCGTGCAACGGACTGGGAAAGCACGGCTACAGTGACGTGTCGGCTTTAAGGAGGGACCACCAGGTAAAAACTCAAAGAAAAGAAACAAAACCCGTGGGTTTCCTTTGGCCTTTCATCGGAGGGGCTGCTTCGGATGAAGGGGCGGCCAGCTGTTGCTTCTACCGCCGGGATCATCTTAGGCGAAAATCTTTCGGTCTTTCTCCGCCGTCGCTTCTGGATCCCCTTTCAAGTTTCTTCCTGTTGCAGTTCCGCTGGGAAAACAAGTCTGGGGAGGCAGGCGCTGGAGTGTAGGCTCGCGGGAGGGCTGGGCGGCAGGCTGACTCCCCTGCCCCCGAATTGGGTTGAAGTCTCTCCTTTGCAGAGACGGGGAGGCGGGAGGGGGCTGCGTTGCTGCCGGGGTAGGTTGCGGGCGCGGTTTTCAGACGGAGACAGAGAGGAAAGCGGGCGCGTGCGTCTCTGTAGTGGTTTCCAACGCTGCTGCTGCCGGTGGGTGTTTTAGTACCTAGAGACTGGGTTCCCCTTACCTGCAGTTGCTCTTTCCAAGGCGATCATTTTTGTAGCTGTCTCCTCCTCTCTGGGGGGAGGAGAAAGGAAGGGGCGAACGAAGAGGGAGTAAGCCTTGCCATCCTCTTTGATCCTCCGACTGCATGGTGTTTTTTCCTCGGTGCCAGTCCAGGCGTTTGCCCGAGAAAATGCGCCTGTATTGTAGCGGAGAAGTCGCGGAGGTAAGCTATTGTCGCCGACTCTCGCGTTGAAACGAATTAAGCATAGAACTCTCAAGGATTATTCTGAATTGTTTTCGAATAATGCAGGATGTTCTTCGTGTCGGTCCTTTGTAACTACGTTGTAAAAAGCATCAGCATGAGCAGCAACACAGCAGCTGCATTTCAGTTCGTTTGGGTCTGTATTGGAAAAGAAAAAACAGACTGAAAATTCTCAAGTCTCCCTTTCTTTCTTGCCCCCCTTGGTTGAGAGATTTGGAAAAGAATTTATCAGCACTGCAATAACTAGAAGTAGAAAGTAGAACAAGCTCTTTTCCTTTATTCTGGAGAATCTTGTGCAGGGATTCAGGAAGCAGAGTAGATTGTTTGCTGCATACCTAATTTAACTGAAGGTCTCGGATAAAATCAACTAAGGAAAAAAGATACACATACCCACTGCATACATGCTCCCTTTCAGGGAAGTGCTACAACTGATTGCTCTGGAAGGAAAGTTAGAGATGGCACTTGATGTGTCATGCCCTAGAAGCTCTTAATCTCTCCCCTAACCATAAAGTACATTCAACAGATCTTTCAAAAGGCAAACATGTTGCCCTACATACCTTTAAATCTATCCATGGAAAAGAATTTTGTGGAAAGTTGTTAGGTGAACTTCCATTATACACTGCCCTCTTTGAAAAGCATCCATACTTTTCATTTGGAGTTGGGCAGCATAAAATTGAATAAATAATAATAGTACTTATTAATAAGCTAAATATATGTTCTGAACTTTACTGAGTGTAGATTGCCAATAGCCTAATAAATGTATTGGGTAATAAAGGGTATTCATAGTATTAAATGACATGGTTTTGTTCTGAAAATATGCTGGAAGATTAATTTAATAGTCTTCAGTATTTCTTTTGTGGTTTCATAGCTGAAAGCTGCCTAGTCTGAAAACTACTCAACGAAACTGGGGAAAATGTTCATAAAATTGTAATGATTTTGAGTAATAGAAATCTTCTTTAACATATACAACAAATTATTACTGAGTATGAACTTAAAAAAAATATAATAATGAGCTGTTTGAAGCATCTC